AGGAGCATGCAACAGGGCATGGAGAAAAGTGAGTAAATATCAAACTGCACAAAATAAAGACCATAAAAAAACGTGTAATTTTACTGCATTCAGGCCACATTCATAAGAAACCAAGGAGGATCACAACATAACATGTGTCTTTCAAAAGAAGCTATTTTTCAAAATACAAGATATGTCAAACATCAGATGCGCGTTAAATATTTACATTTTTGACCAGCTGTTCGTGACCCATCCAGAACGTGTCTGCGACCCACTTTTGGGTCGGGACCCACCAGTTGAGAACCACTGCCTTACAGCATACCATAGTTACGGTGACACTAATTCTGTCATCAGTATATATATATATATATATATAGATATAGATATAAATAGATTTTTTTTTTTTATGGAAATCTTCAAATTAAATGATCTCATATTATAACACTGATTTGACAATTTGGGAAACATTTTTTAATGCATTACAGTTTTTTCTTTAAAAATGTTAAAAGTTTATCCCTAATTCAACAGAATAAGAACTCCAAGGTGGTCTGCTCCTTAAAAGTTCTGGTTTCAGATCACACAGGTGCAGAAGTGCTGTGTTTACTTTAATAAGAAAGGTAAAAGTCAAGATCATAAAGTATTTTTTAATGTATTTATCTAATCCTAAAATTAACATAGAGGTTAGAAGCGCTTTTCTTTGCTAATGTGAGCTAAAAATATTTTAAAATGCAAAATATTGGTATTTTATATATGCGATTAAAAAGGCGAATTAACGACAGATATTTTGTGATTTAAAAAAAAGCTGTTAATGTTAAAAATCAAATAATACAGTCAAATCAATTGTGATCTTTTGGTTTGTTTGGATTTTGGCGCCCCCTGTGGACAAACAACAATTTGTTTTTTTCTAGAAAAATCTGCATCCTGTTCCCACATTTTGCAGAAAAAAGTAAACTTCCCAAAAGAAAGAAAAAGTGGATTTCCAAATCCTGTGTATTTGGATCTGGATTTAACTTTTGGAAAAACTGCACAGATTGTTGAATTTCATCTGGAGCGAGTCGTTTGGACGAGCACTCTTTAGAAATGCTCACCGTAAAATCTGTGTTACTCCAGGACGGTAAAGATGAAGCCAGGCTGCAGAGTCTGGAGCACAGGAAATACATATTTTTGAATGCATGCCTGGATTGAAAACACACAGTTTGTATAGTTTGTAAAAGAACAGAGAGTACATCTGAAACTCTGCCAGAGGACACATGACTCTCTCTCTCCTGCAGACAGACTCTCTCAGCTGCCTCCTGGAGCAGAAATGTGTCAGTGTGTCTACTGTTGCTTCGTCTCCCTGCAGCCTTTCAGAAAACCCAAGGAGGAGAAGGAGGAGGAGGAGGAGGAGGGTGTTTCTCACAGAGAGGATAGACGTCTGAGCCGGGTGTAGATTCTGGCTGCAGCTCGTAGATCCGTCAGAACAGACAGGGGGGGTAATTAGGATGTTCCTCCTGCAGCAGAGACAGACTGAAACTGCTGTTCAAGAATCAGATCTTAAAGACCTCCGAGTTCACAACAAGAGTTTCACTGATGTCTCTTTGCACGGCGTCTAATTACAGAGTAAACAAATTCATACAAGTACGATATCAGTGAAAGATAAAAAGTGAAAGTCAAGAGTCCATGAGACAAACCAGTCTGACAGTAACTACATGTCAACATCACAACCAGGGGGGAGAAACATTTATATTCTGTGTCATTAATTTATAAAGTTTGTCCACAGCTCTAAAGGGATTGCTGGAGGAGGCGGGATTTATGACCTATACTGCAGCCCGTCACCAGAGGGTGCTGTTCTCGGAGTGGCTTTACCCAGCGAGGAGGCAGATGGCGTCCATTCTATATGGTTTCTACTGTCTGATATTGTCGCACGCTAACTTTGTTTGGGCTCATGAACGTTATTCGAGGACGTGGAGCGTGACTCACAATACGGGGGAGCAGCGTCTGCCTCACAACCAATCAAGTCGGGGAGGTGGAGAACGGCTTTGTTTACATTCAGAAAGAGCGGGGTAGTAGTAGAATAATAACTATTGACTGATATTAAAAGCTTTTTTGTTTATACACCACAAAAAAAGATGCTTCTTCACCAGATCCCTGCCTACCCTACCTTTAAATGTTGCAGACATAAAACAAAAACACGACACAACGTGTTACAACACTGCGAATGACCCTGACTTGAGGACGAAGCCTGGGTTTAAATCACTGCTTACAGTGAAACTGAGACCCCCTCTGGTTCACACTAAAACTTGTATCTTCGTTATGAGAAAATTACCTTGTTAATCAAAAGTCAGGAGGCGGGATGACTCTGTTTATCAATGATACCGGCGCAGTGTTGACATGTGAAATTCTCAGTATTTGCTGTTTTGCTTCAGCGTGATGCCAGTCAGGGCTTCTTTTTCCCAGCTTCTTTGAATGCACCAGAAATTATGAAAAAAAACAAGGATTTCCAAATTTCTTGTTCTTTGTACCATAAAAAAACATATTTACTGTTTACATAACTCTGCATAAGGAGGTTTTTATTTTGGAAAATTAGACTAATAACTGAAAGTCAATCAAAGAAACTTCTCATTTACAGTGAAGCTGAGACTCATCAAACACGAGCATAAACAATTGTTCTAGCTTAAATAAAACAGCAGTTCGATATGACTGAGGATGTAAAAAGTCATAATTAAAGGGTAATATTTCACCGTGTTTTTCTAAATTAATCTAAAAAGAGCCAAAAACTTTACAAAGTTAAACAGATCGTGTCGGTTTTCTTTCCACCTGCTGCCATTGTAGTTTCATCGTTTAGACTCTTTTTCCTGATGATAATTCAATATTTAAAATTCAGTAACGTCACAGAGTTGTACACTTTTACTCTTGGTTAATGAATGAATGATAATACTTCCTGATGGTAATTCAATAGCATTATAAATCCTCTGATTCCCCTTTAAGGAAATAACTCAGTCTCACTTAAAACATGACAGAAATGTTAATTAGCCTGATCTGCGTGTGATTTGGTTGGCATTTGTGCGTTTAAATAAAGGTTTATTTAATTTTTTCAATGACATGATGTCCCAGGAATTCCTCTTAAAGCTCTTTATTCAAAGCTTTGAGGAACCTCCTGAATGATGGACTGAAAATGAGCTTCTTTTCTCCTCCTTTCCTGGAAAAGTTGACATTTAGACAAGCCCCCCACCCTCACCACCCCCCTCTCCTGGCAGCAGTGGTTGGTGGGTTATTTGGGCGCCATGGTAACCTGCCCACCTCAGATAGAAAGAGCTGAACCCCACACGGGCCGCCTCTCTCTGTGTTTTTCTCCCAGGCCGGCCAGGTTCAGCTGGCAGTGAGCCCACATACCTCACCCTCGGCTCCCAGAGTCCCACACTGAGGCGGGGGATAAAGACGAGGGGGGGGGCTTTAACTGGCATCAATAGAAACGTAGCGCGAGTTTAACCTGAAACACAACAACCAGTTTGCATGATTTAGTTACAGACGATTATTCTTTGTTCCTCACTGCTGCTGTCTGTAACACGTTAGTTATTATCAGGGGCGTAGCACCAAATTCTGGACCCTGTACACTCTCAGTGTCAGTGGGCCCCTATCCATGCCAGCGTAGGAGGCACATAAGCAAACCAAACGTCTTTTTAACTTTGACTCATTTCTTTAGCAAAGAGACTAAACACAACTCACCTACTCTCTTCCAGCAGACGCTTGTTTGTAGAAAGACCTCAGGCCAGTCCATTACAGACTACAGCAGGGTGCCGCAGCTCAAGGAAGAACATTTATGATCATTTCTTCATCATTTCCTTGAAGCAATAATCACCATATTTATCATTTTGAGGAAATGATCATAAATGTTCTTCCTTGAGCTGCGGCACCCCGCTGTAGTCCGTAATGGACTGGCCTGAGGTTTCGCTACAAACAAGCGGCTGCTGGAAGAGAGTAGGTGAGTTGTGTTTAGTCTCTTTGCTAAAGAAATGAGTCAAAGTTAAAAAGATGTTTGGTGTCTAGTACTATGTCTGTGACCCTATATGTCCTGTTGATGAAGTTAGGTGCTGTTCTGAGCATTATTTGTGGCTATAGAGTGGCGTTTTGGTTGAGGGCGTGGCTCTCTGTATTGCTATCTGCGGTCGTTACTAAAGTTGGTATAACTAGAGAAGCAAGCGGTCGATAACATTCATCTTTCGACGGGGGTGTCTATGGTGTGTTTGTCCCTAAATTAATTTTATGCCGGAATATCCCTTTAACCTTACGCTGCTTTTAACCCCATTCTTCATTTCTAAGTAGTGTATTAGATAATAAAACAAAATTATCGAAGCAGGTCAGAAGTTCGTCTCCTCCTGCCTGTAAGTGAAGCAGAAAAAAACGTTTCAGATTAAACGTCTGTGGAGACCGTGTCTAACTGTGCTTCATAAATCAGACATGATGAAAGTAAGAGCCTGAGAGAGAGAGAGAGAGAGAGAGAGAGAGAGAGACAACATGTCTGCCAATGACGACGCAGCTTCCTGCTGACAAAGAGGAAGAGCAGAAGAAGGAGGAGGAGGAGGATGACTCAGTGAAGGTTGATTACTGGTTGTGTTCTCAGAAATAAGTCAAAGTTAAAAAGGGGGCGTGACTCTCTGTATTTCTATCGTGCGGTCGTTACTAAAGTTGGTATAACTAGAGAAGTAAGCGGTCGACAACCTTCATCTCTGGAGGGGGGGTCTAACTCGGTGTTACAATGTTTGACCCTAATTTAATTTTTCACCGGAATATCCCTTTAAACTACAACCAGATCAGATTATATTGATAGGTGGTTAGCTAATTGTTTTTCTATGTTCTCAGCACTTACACCTCTCGCTCTCTCACTGTTTGTTCCTGAAACCGGTGAATGTTGACAGCTAACATTAGCTAGCCCATAACTGTATTTATACTTACAGCAGCCTCGTTGGCAGCTAGCCAAGTCGCTAAGCTAAAGACTTCATGTTAGCATACAAACATCAGCAGCAGCTGTCTGGAGTGGACTACGCTAACTTTAACTGGACTTAACTGGACAGAATAAACAAACTGGGTTCACCTTTGGGAAAGAAAGCAGTCAACAGACAAGAAAGCAGTATAATGTCTAACCCTCAGGTCATTCAGTCTGGGCTCACTGACGTTACACTAAACCATCAAGAAAAACAGACGAGGTGATTTCAGTGACTCAGTTTGATGATTTTTATTGTTTTCACCCACAATCAGAGACTTGACCACAATCTGAGCTGAGTCAGAAACATAAAAACAGTCGGACTAATAAATGTGATTATTATTATTAGAGTGATTGAAAAGCTCATAACAACATGTAGATCTGTCCAAAGTCTGACTCTAGATGTCTTTACAAACACATGTGATGATGAACAAATATTCATCTTGATGTTGTTGATATCAAACTTAATGAAGATGTTTCAACTTGAGAAATACAAACAATCAAAGTTCTCCACAATCACTGTCCTTAAAGCTGCGACCAAATCAGCATCTTTAGAAAAGAATCAAAAAGCTGAAATGAAGAACTAAACCCAGAGTTTTTGGTGAGACTGATCCACAAACATTTACAAACCAGAACATTTCAAGAGTTCAAGGATCTCAGTCCATGATTTTGGTCTGATGGACTCAAAATTCTCTTTATTTCACTTCTACAAACTCAGCAGAGTCTCCATCACTGCAGCCTAACCACAGTCCAGCATGTAGAGGTTCAGTGAATGTGGTCTGGACTCTGTGGAGGAGAGTCATGGTTTCAGAGACGCTGTAGAAGGACAGAATACCTGCTCTGTGATCCAGGTACACTCCTACTCTGGAGGACTGAGGACCTGAGACATCAGTGAGGACTTTGTTGTGAACAAATACATGACTTTCTTTTGAACAGTATAATGTCCACGATTTGTCATTTCCTCCAAATAAACAATCATCTGAGTCCCCGTCTCTGCTGATCGTCTCGTATGCGACTGCTACATAAACCCCATTCCCTCTCCAGTCCACCTCCCAGTAACAACGTCCAGTCAGACTCTCTCTACTCAGGACCTGAGAACAGTAAGTGAATCTGTCTGGATGATCAGGATAAGACTGTAGCTGTTTCGTAAATGTTGCTCTTCTGTTTCCATCAGATAATAACAGTCGTCTGTCTGCTGTGTTTGGATCCAGTGTGATTCTTTGTGAATATCTTAAGAAACCAGCTCTGGTCTTGGGTTCTGGTTCTGGTTCTAACAGTAAAACATCCACTTCAGTCACTGCCTGTGAGACGTTTGTCCACGTCTCTGTCAGAAGATCCTGGAGTATATCTCTGACCTCTGACACAGCTGCTGTCACCTCCTCAAAGTATCTCTGAGGACGGATGTTGATCCTGGGTGAGTCTGCAGGTTGACCCGGTTCTGACAGTGAGGGGTAGCTGTGCAGAAACTGGTTGTGGTCCTCTGTGAGTGAGAGCTTCTGCAGATCAGCATCTTTCCTCTTCAGCTCAGTGATCTCCTGCTCCAGTTTCTCCTGAAGTTCTTTGACTCGACTCACTTCACGTTCCTGCTGGGATCTGACCTGCTGCTCCACGTCAGAGCGGCGTTTCTCCATCAGACGGATCAGCTGGCTGAAGATCTCCTGGCTGTGCTCCACAGCTTTATCAGCAGAGCCGTTGATAGCCTCCACCTCCTGTTGGAGCAGCTTCACATCTTCTTCTCTGTCCTGGATTCTCTGCTGGATGTTTTCTCGACTCTCCTCCAGATCTTTCTGCCTCTCAGTCCTTTCTGCCGCAGCTGAGACTGTGTTGTGACCTTTGTGTTGGTCCAAACAGCAGAGATGACAGATAGACTTCTTATCAGTGCGGCAGAAGATCTTCATCACCTCATCATGACGAGAGCAGATGTTCTCCTGGAGGTTCTTGGAGGGCTCCACCAGCTTGTGTTTCTTATATGAAGGTGATTCAAAATGAGGCTGGAGGTGAATCTGGCAGTAAGAAACCAGACATTGAAGACAGGACTTGACAGCCTTCAGTTTTCTCCCACTGCAGGAATCACAGGCCACATCTTCAGGTCCAGCCTCAGAGGGATCATCAGGAGCAGCTTGGAGTCCACTCTTCTTCACTTCCTCCACTAAACCTGCTAACATGGTGTTTTTCATCAGGACAGGCCTCGGTCTGAAGGTCCGTCTGCACTGAGGACAGCTGTAGATCTTCTTCTCATCCTCAGTATCCCAGTAGGATTGAATACAGCTCATGCAGAAGCTGTGTCCACAGTTAACAGTCACCGGATCCTTCAGAAGATCCAAACAGATGGAACAAGAGAAAGACTCACGGTCCAGAAGAACTCCCTTCTGCGCCATTTCAACACTCGCTGTTGACAACAACTGACTGAGTTTTATTTCCTGAGAAGTGAAACTAGTCTGAGCTCTGATCTCAACAACATGTGTTTCAGCAGGATATCAGCTCAGCACACGTTAGTTACAACTGTAGATCTGAAGGGGAGGGAAAGAGGAAGTGAAGAGAGCAAGGAAGTGAGTGTGCAGAGTGGAGTGAGCTGTGTGAGAGACGAGGGAGGGGAAATTCAGCTCTTGTATAATTCAGGGAGAGCAGCGGCGATGTGAAGTTTAGAGTCCTACTTGACTTTAACTGGACTTTACAGAACAAACAAACTGGATTCACCTTTGGGAAAGAAAGCAGTCAACAGCTGCCTCCCCTCTTTCTTTTTCTTTCCTCTCTTTCTTCTTCTGATACCAAAAAAAATCACCAGTATCGGAACTATCAGCAAATTAATTTATTACCACAAAAATCACAACGCACACTCTACTGCTCCATGATCCTGCCTTTCCCCAGTGTTGAAATCTGGGGAAACACATACAAGACCAATCTACAAAAGATAAACACAAAAAAAGGTCATCCGGACCATAAATCATGCTGGATACAGAGATCACACCAGCCCTCTGTTCCTAAAATCAGAAATGTTAAAATTTAATGACATAGTCAATTATAAAACGGATCAAGTGCTGTACAAAGTAACACAAAGTAAGTTACCTGCTAATCTACAAAAGATGTTCAAAACCAGGGAGGGGGGCTATAATCTAAGGAGTGAACATAAATGTATCTGTCCGATAGACTCTTCGGTACGTTCCGCCCCCAGACTGCGATGGTCCAATCACAGCGTAGCAAACAAGAGTCGGACATCATGGCCACATCACTCGTTAAATCACATGTTATTTAGGGCTTTTTCAGAAGTTGATTAACAATATAATATCAAGAAGATTCATATTATATTACCACCATGGTGAAACGTTGCTGCTGGGGGACCTGCAACAGCGACACTAGGTACCCAGAGCGTTTGAATGGGGCATTTTTTATTCCTCTTCTGAAGCCGAAGCGTGCCTTGGAAAAGTGCATGCTGTGTATAAGTTATGTGGCCGGCCACATAACCAGCGTTACCTGAGGAACGTTACGAAGAATACCTTTATCTGCACCAAGGTAAGTTGTTTGTTGTTTATTAGACTATTGATTTAACTTTATACACTTGGTGTATAAAATGTAGGTATTTATACAGATCTTTGTAATTTATTAAAATAGATTTTTTCTTTTTTTTTAATTTCTAATTTGCTAGGAAGAGGCAGGACTAGATTAAGTCTTTGCTTCATTCTGTTCCTTCCCAAACTGTACATTTTGACATACATATTAGGCCTGAACGATATATCGTTTGACTATCGTCATCGCGATGTACGTGTGTGCGATAGTCACATCGCAGAGCCTGCGATATTGGAGGTGAATGAACTCATTTAATTTCAAGAGTAACCGACTGAGATACACTCCATGTGACTCTGCATGTGCTGTGCAGCGATCCACCAATCGCCTTCGTCCTTAACTCAGTTGCCAGTCAGACTCACTTCTCAGCTGCCAATCAGACTACCCTGCCAGCTGTCAATCAAAATCAGGGAGGAGAAAACCCACCCCTGCACATGTTCTGCACATGGAGGGAGACGCGTGTCCGCTGAGAATTACTTTCGGAACTTTACTCATGACTATTAAGCCCAACAAATAAGAACTGTATGGGTTTTAAATTGTACATTTCCGTGAATCACTCTACTATAAGCAGTGCGCGTTTTGCGAGGTGCATGCAATTCTCGGAGTACATGCGTTTCTCGGTACAGCACCGCTAACAACAACAACAACGATCGCAAAATGAACAACGAACAAGCGAAAACCACCGAAAATGAAGATTTGTTGCCAAAAAGAAAAGGAAAGTCAGTTATCTTAAATTATTTCGGTTAAAAAAGGATGATGTCGACCAAAACACGTCTTCTGTGTTCATCTGTTTCCACAATAACGTCCCAGCACAATAAAAGCTAAAAATATCTCTGAGACAGACAGAAGCCGTTCTACTAACATTCACAAAAAGAGGTAAGATCAGAGCAGATTAACTGTCCTCAAGATTTCAGCAGTGCAGCATGACATTAAGTGCTATTCAGGTCATCTGGTGAAAATACTGTATTTTTAATATCGCAATATATATCGCAGGGTTGAAAAAATCGCAATATTATTTTTTTCCAATATCGTGCAGCCTTAATACATATGTTGTGTTAATTTATCTTTGACATGTACAGTTGTTTGGTGTACATATTTATTATTTTGTTTGGTGTTTTTGTTTCTAGTTGTTTTTTGTTGTTGTAGTTCTTAAAGTTTGAGATAAATAAAGAAGAAGAAGAAGAAACGGAACAAGAGGAAGACTCTCAAACTCCAACATGCAGAGGTTATTAAAGCTGCAGCGGTCCTGAAGATCAACTGAACCAACATTTATTCACCTCATGGATCACTGAAACACTTCCAACTAGTGTCATATTTCTGTGTATGTGTGTCTAATGAGGCAGGTTTGTATTTTGTTGCATGTTCTTGGGTGTCATGTTATGTTTCTGAATTCTCTAAAATTATTTTTGCAGTTTCTCATGTTGTTCACTTTCCCTCAGAAGAATGTCTGCCAGGTGGTGCTTTGTCCTGTTTAATCCTTAAGAGAGGAGCGTTCAGTATATGTGTTTGTATTCAGTCTGTTTTAAGATGCTGTCATGTTGTGATCTGTTAAAGAAGATATGAAACTTAAAGTGCAGTTTAACTTCAACTCAATCAGCACTCACACACATCGATATACTGATCGGATTTTAAATACTCAGCCCTCCGAAAAGGCTTGACAGGAAGCACACTCAAGGTACAACTAATGTTTTGTTCTTGGACTTCTTTTATTTTTTGACCACACAGGTGACACAGGTCTTTTCTCTTTTACCGCAATCTTATTTTTGCTAACTGTCTTTTCAGCCTTTGTTATACTTATAATCTTTTCTTATTTAACCTATCAGGCCTTATATTGATAGTTTTTTTTCTTGCTCATTTTTATTATTCTATTTTATCATTACTATTATGATCATATTATTTTGTTATTTTATTATCATTATTAAGATTGTCTTTTTATATTTACTACCCTGTATCCTGCTTTTAACCCCCCTTTTTAATACATTTCTTATTCTTACCTATTTTATGTTTTTATTCTGGTCCTCATGGTCTCATTTTATGTATAACTGCAATAAACACAGTGAACCTAACTGGTTAAACACAGTATCACAGTACCAACAGTAGCAGCTTACATTACAAGCTAAATGCTAATAACAGCCAGCTAAGCGCTAGCTTGTAATGCTAATGGAGTTAGCCTTGCATGCTAATAGGGAGCTAGAGAAAATGCTAACGGAAGCTAGCGGCGCTAATCAAATGCTAACCACGGACACTTAATTACACTCTCTAATTCAACATTCTCTTATTTCTCTCCAAGGACAATGAAATAGGCACCAAAGCGTTATATATTCAGAGGCTACACATTGTTAGCAGGTTATTTCTTACCAATGGACTGTTCGCTTCTGCCAAACTCGGACACAACTGTCGTGACAAGTAACACCGGAAGTCCGCGGACCTTTCAAAATAAAATGCAGAGCTACAAAACTCTTAAACTACTCAGAGCAACAAATAATGATTTAATAATGCTTGTCTTGATATATACACCTTAAATCTCTTTCAAGATTATTACTCTTACTTACAGAAAACCTGATCCAGCTGCAGGACCCACATCTAGGACCTGTAACACCTGTGAGTGACCACATCATGGAAATCCTGCAGACCACATGAATCCATGACCCAGAAAGACCTGTAACATGACATCCAGCAGAAACAGACCAAATAAAGAAAAACAGGTTAGGTGCTTTCAGTGACTCAACTTGATGATTTTTATTGTTTTCACCCACAATCTGAGCTGAGTCAGAAACAGAAAAACAGTCGGACTAATATATGTGATTATTATAAAAGTGATTAGAAAGCTCATAACATGTTGATCTGCTAAAAGTCTCATTCTAGATGTCTTTACAAACACACTGATCCAACAGAAGCAGACAGAAATATCCATCGATCACATGAACACAAATATTCAGCAAACAGAGAAAGAAACAGATCATCTGAAGAGTTTTTGGGGACGACTGGAAAGACTTTAGACGCTTGGATTTGGGACAGGAAATAAGGTCGTCCTTTTTTATCTTTCTTTCAATATTTTGACGTCAGTTTTTTCTAAAGTCTCAGACCTTCAACATCTGCACCAACTGAAGGTGATTTGAACAAACGATCATCTTGATGTTGTTGATATCAAAATTCATGAAGATTTTTCAAAATGAGAAATACAATCAGTTATCCACAATCACTGTCCTTAAAGCTGCGACCAAATCAGCATCTTTAGAAAAGTGTAGCGATTTGAATTTATAATAAATGTCTGAGGATTAATAATCTCAAGTTATGACATTTATGCACTCGTTGAAAGAGGCACCACCCACCCTTAATGGTGGAAAAATAAAGAAAACTAAAGTTTAATTCAGAAATCAAACATCAAGTCAAATCTTAAATTAATCAATCTCATACCTTGAGCTGAGATTCTCATTTCAGGGACTCCACTTCTGGAAGAACACTAAAAGACCAGAACTTAGAAATAATGATGTTTAATACAGGATAAATGATGGTACAACACACATGCAATAAATGATAAGATAATGAGGATAAAAAATAATAGGTGAACAAATAAAGATTCTAAGTCAGGCTAGGAGCACTAAAGTTAATGATAGTGAGTGAATATGCTCGAACATATTAACCTACACTATCTTTGGTGTCAAGGTAAATTTGGATGTGGATTTGGAGGAATCCAAGATTACCAGAATAAGTGGATATCTGAGTTATGACCGCATGAGACAGCATCAGCCCTCTTTGGAGCTCTGGAGGTCTGCATACTTAAGTAAGACTGGTCCTTGGAGAAGATGGAGCAGGTTCCGAAGGTCCGGGCTACCGGCCGAAGTCAGCCGAAGGATGGGCCAGGAGTCGTAGCACTCGGGCCTGAAGTAAAGCCGGCGCCTGTGGATCCTGTGGATGCTCGTTTGGATGCTTCTTTGGTCTCACTCAAAAACTCTGGCGCAGAGGATGACCCGGGCCTGCTGGGTTGTGTTCAGAGGTGACTTTGAAATCTCGCAGATAACTCAGAAAAACGAGGCTCGATGACCAGAGAAAACTTTCAAAAATGGCTTCGCGAAATTAAAGAAAAATCAATCAAAGGCTTAATCTTGAATTGCTATGCGCACAAAAAGTTGAAGTTTCAAAACTTGAACGAAGACGATGTTAAAGAAAATCAACGTGAATCAACGCAAAACTTAGAAGACTAAGAAAAAGTAAGACTAAGTAGTAAAAGCTAAACGAAAACTTAAGAGTAGAAAAGCAAAAATAGAAGAGAGGCAACAAGAGTACAAAGGGAACAAGCAACGTGAGCACCCCCCCCCTTTCTGGTTTTATCTTCTCACACTGGGAGTGTCTCTGGCGTGTGTGTGTGAAGAGAAAGAGGAGGGGTCGTGGGGTCTCCAAGCAGAGGAGACCTCAGATCTCTGATTATTTGATCTAACATATACTTTTGGCTGGTAAAAGAGTCAGATCTGATACTCACTCACTATGATTAATATCATTGAATGCTTGGTTTCATGATAAATAATTTGATACTAAACACATATAAAGAAATGTAGGATCACATCAAACATTCTCATTATGTTTCAAGTATCACATTAAACATGCTAAATTACTCTGAAATGAAACAGAGAGTAACACATGGAAACTGTGAACAACAAAAGAGTAAATACATGTGAATGAACTTCATCGTGATTACTAATGGATTCTAAATACTCACATTCAGATTATTCAATGACATTATAACCACCTAATGGTTAAAAATACTAAATAAACAACTAAAATATAAACCAAACATTTCTAAACTATTTCTGTTACTTAGAGGAAACTTATGATCCATAGTCAATAAATGTAACTCTTAAAAGTTGAGGAAACAGTCTGAAAAGCTGTTGGTCTAAAGAAACTAAAGAACAAAGGAATTATTCTGTCAGAGTGATAACTCAGCTTCTGGAGCACATAGAACAATGAGAAACATCTCATTTTAACACAAATTTCATGATTGGACAGATTAGTACATTGCTGAATACATAAGATGTCATGATCAGTCATTTGTATTCTTTCATCAAAGGAATGCAGTTTTTTATCAGAACATGGTTGAGCAGGGTTTTACGACCGAGGGACCAGATAAGGAAACTTTCCTGTGAGGAATGTGTGAGTTTCACACCCAGGGTTGTCTTGATTGCTACAAAAGAATGAAAAAGCTGAAATGAAGAACTAAACCGAAAGTTTCTGGTGAGACTGATCCACAAACATTTACAAACCAGAACATTTCAAGTGTTCAATGATCTCATTACATGTTTTTGGTCTGATGGACTCAAAATTCTCTTTATTTGGGTTCAATAAACTTAGCAGAGGCTCCAACAGACCGGTGCTTAAAAGACAGGAAAAACAGTCCAGCATATAGCGGCTCAGTGAATGTGGTCTGGACTCTGTGGAGGAGAGTCATGGTTTCAGAGACGCTGTAGAAGGACAGAATACCTGCTCTGTGATCCAGGTACACTCCTACTCTGGAGGACAGAGGACCTGAGACATCAGTGAGGACTTCGTTGTGAACAAATTGATAAATGTCTTTAGAGCAGTCTAACGTCCAAGATTTGTCATTTCCTCCAAATAAACAATCATCTGAGTCCCCGTCTCTGCTGATCGTCTTGTATGCGACTGCTACACTTACCCTGTTCCCTCTCCAGTCCACCTCCCAGTAACAACGTCCAGTCAGACTCTCTCTACTCAGGACCTGATCATAATAAGTGAATCTGTCTGGATGATCAGGATAAGACTGTCGTTGTCTTGTTAATGTTGCTTTTCTGTTTCCTTTAGATAATATCAGATATCTGTTTGCTGTGTTTGGATCCAGTGTGATTCTTCGTGAATATCTTAGGAAATCAGCTCTGGTCTTGGGTTCTGGTTCTAACAGTAAAACATCCACTTCAGTCACTGCCTGTGAGACGTTTGTCCACATCTTTGTCAGAAGATCCTGGAGTTTATCACTAACCTCTGACACAGCTGCTGTCACCTCCTCAAAGTATCTCTGAGGACGGATGTTGATCCTGGATGAGTCTGCAGGTTGACCCGGTTCTGACAGTGAGGGGTAGCTGTGCAGAAACTGGTTGTGGTCCTCTGTGAGTGAGAGTGTCTGCAGATCAGCATCTTTCCTCTTCAGCTCAGTGATCTCCTGTTCCATCTTCTCCTGAAGTTCTTTGACTCGACTCACTTCACGTTCCTGCTGGGATCTGACCTGCTTCGCCATGTCAGAGTGGCGTTTCACTATGAGACGGATAAGCTGGGTGAAGATCTTCTGGCTGTGCTCCACAGCTTTATCAGCAGAGCCGTTGATAGTCTCCACCTCCTGTTGGAGAAGCTTCACATCTTCTTCTCTGTCCTTGATTCTCTGCTGGATGTTTTCTCGACTCTCCTCCAGATCTTTCTGCCTCTCAGTCCTTTCTGCTGCAGCTAAGACTGTGTCGTGGTCTTTGTGTTGGTCCAAACGGCAGATAGAACAGATAGACTTCCGGTCAGTGCGGCAGAAGATCTTCATCACCTCATCATGATCAGAGCAGATGTTCTCCTGGAGCTTCTTGGAGGGCTCCACCAGCTTGTGTTTCTTAAATGGAGGTGATTCAAAATGAGGCTGGAGGTGAATCTGACAGTAAGAAACCAGACATCGCAGACAGGACTTGACAGCTTTCCGTTTTCTCCCACTGCAGGAATCACAGGCCACATCTTCAGGTCCAGCCTCAGAGGAACCATCAGGAGCAGCTTGGAGTCCACTCCTCTTCACTTCCTCCACTAAACCTGCTAACATGGTGTTTTTCATCAGGACAGGCCTGATGAAAAAGGTCTCTCTGCACTGAGGACAGCTGTAGACCATCCTCTCATCCTCAGTATCCCAGTAGGAGTGAATACAGCTCATGCAGAAGCTGTGTCCACAGGAAACAGTCACCGGATCCTTCAGAAGATCCAAACAGATGGAACAAGAGAAAGACTCACGGTCCAGATGAACTCCTTCCTGCGCCATTTCAACACTCGCTGTCGACGACTGACTGAGTTTTATTTCCTGTAAAAAGTGAAACTATTTAAAGCTCTGGTCTCAACGACGTGTGTATCAGCAGGATATCAGCTCAGCACACCCTGGTTACACCCGTCCTCAAAGTGTAGATCTGAAGGGGAGAGAAAGAGAAGAGAACAAGAAAGTGAGAGTGCAGAGTGGCGTGAGCTGTGTGAGAGACGAGGGAGGGGAAGAGGAGCGGCGATGTGAAGTTGAGAGTCCTACATTAACTTGAACTGGACTTTACAGAACAAACAAACTGGGTTCACCTTTGGGAAAGAAAGTAGTCAACAGCTGCCTCCCCTCATTCTGCCCTCTTTCTTTTTCTTTCCTCTCTCTCTTCTTCTGATACTAAGAAAATCACCAGTCAAGACTTTCATTTCTCTGAGCTGCACCATTTAAAGTCCAGTCAGCAAACTGAGAAGTCCCCATGAACAAATGAGTCCGAAAAACAAACAGTAAAAAACTGAGACTTAGTTTAAATGGAGAAATCCCTCTGGCTAACTTCAGCGACATGAACCCCAGAAGTTTACGTTTCAGTAGGTCTCAGTTTCACAGTAAAAAGTTGATGACTCGTTATGACTTATTCCTTGATTTATGCTTTTTGGGCAGCATGATGTCTAACCTCCAGGTCATTCAGTCTGGGCTAACTGACCTTACACTAAACTATCAAGAAAAACCGGCGAGGTTCTTTCAGTGACTCAGTTTGATGATTTTTATTGTTTTCACCCACAATCAGAGACAGAAGCAGCAATTCTCATATATTTTTTTCAAAGTTCTGATACTCATGACAGTGTAACGCTCATGTACCAAAAGATTAAGTATCTCCATGTTTGTGAAACCTATACTGAAGTACAATTCATCTAAATGCTCCTCAGTGCTGATTTTAACAACTCTCCTCCACAACAGGTAACTTTACGACTTAATTCTTATAAATTAATGACTTTATTCTTCTCAATAACTTTATTCACGAAGATTTAAAAACGTTTTTTTTTCTTAATGTGTTCCTCATACTCCGTTGTTTTTAAGAGATTATTGTAGTAATAATTATCTTCAATCACTCTTCAACCCCCCCCCCCAAAGGAAATCTCACTCTTAGCTTAGTTCAAAACTTGAGAGCCCTGTATTCATGAACTTCTAACTTTAAAGTAGCTATTTTTACTCTGTACGATACTTTTTACTTTAGATAAAAAAATGATTTTTTTTAAAATATGAATCAGTCAAATGTCTTCAAATGAATTAAAGTAATGAACTGCAATAAACACAGTGAACCTTACTGGTTAAACACAGTGTCATAGTACCAACAGTAGCAGCTTACTTTACAAGTTAAATGCTAACAACAGCCAGCTAAGCGCTAGCTAACGCCTGGTTCACACTGGAAGCGCCGCGCGCGGAACGGAAGCGCCGCGCACAGAGTTTCAGATCGGCGCCCATGTTAACCTATGAGACTGTTCACACAGCTTGCGCGCGGAACGGCTCGCGCTCTGGAGCGCGGCTGCTCCGCTTCTCTCTATTTTTGGCGCGAGCCGCGCGCGCCGATGTAAAGCTCAACAGAGCAGATCGGACCAGACAGGAAGTCAGGAAGGAGATGCGAGAGAATCCGGTTAATTTTCAAAATAAAGTAAATTTCAATAAATTAGAAAAGGATTTACGGTGTTGCTTGTCGGTCTATTTTTTTTTACCGATGAACACACACACCCCTATATAATAATTTTAAACAATACTTGAAGATGCTGCCAATATTTAATTTATGTATGACGAAATAAAAACATAAATAAATATTGATAAACCCATTTTTAAAGCGCTCGTAAGTGTGGAAAACTGGGGGCAGACGGAAACGGCCGAGCACTGCCGGGCTCAGTCGATGTCTGACCGGCGTGTCAGAGCGCAGCAGAAAGCGCTTCCTGTGTGAAGAGCCAAGCGCGAGCCGGCGCTGCGCGCGGCGCTTCCTGTGTGAACCAGGCGTAAGAATGCTTATAAAGTCAGCCTTTCATGCTAATCGGGAGCTAGCGAAAATGCTAACGGAAGCTAGCGGCGCTAATCAAATGCTAACCACGGCCGTTTAATTACACTCTCTATTTCAACATTCTCTTATTACTCTCCCAGGACAATGAAATTAGCACCAACACGTTATATATTCAGAGGCTACACATTGTTAGCAGGTTATTTCTTACCAATGGACTGTTCGCTTCTGCCAAACTCGGACACAGCTGCCGTGATGAGTAGTGATGCGCGTCCTTCAGTGTCGAGGAATGAATGGGGTGTTTCCGCGAAGAGCGCATTAAGTCTTGCTTCATGTAGGGGTGGAGCCAAAAATGATGACGTCCGAAGCCTCGCTGCCCGGCTGTACCACGTGACTGATTCACGGGTTTGGCGGATGATTTAACAGGCAGCGAAACGCAATGGAGTCCTCCCCCGCTCACAATGCATGGACTCGAGACTTGTTGAAAAGTTGTTTTTAAATATAAATAAATATAAGTGAAATGTTTATGTTTTACATGTTGTCCCCGAAAAGAAGTACGAATAACAAACTAAGTAACACAAGCACATTCACATCACAACCCTCTCCATAATTTATGTCCTCTTCTCCTTTTTGACGCTGCAACTGTGTCTTAAAGACAAACACCATTTTAATAACTTCACCATTTCTGTATGTTTTCACAAACACACGGCCTCACATCCATTCATTCATTCAATTCAAAGCTTCGCGCACCAAAGCCTTAACACTGGTAAGTAACACCGGAAGTCCGCGGACTTTTCAAAATAAAATGCAGCGCTACAAAACTCTTAAATAAACTACTCAGGGCTACAGATAATCATTAAATAATATAAGTCTTGACATATACACCTTATATCTCTGTCATGATTTTCCTCTTACTTACAGAAAACCTGATCCAGCTGCAGGACCAACATCTGGGACCTGTAACACCTGTAAGTGACCACATCATGGAAATCCTGCAGACCACATGAATCCATGACCCAGACAGACCTGTAACATGACATCCAGCAGAAACAGACACAATAAAGAAAAACAGACGAGGTGATTTCAGTGACTCAGTTTGATGATTTTTATTGTTTTCACCCACAATCAGAGACTTGACCACAATCTGAGCTGAATCAGAAACATAAAAACAGTCGGACTAATGAATGTGATTAATATAAAAGTGATTAAAAAGCTCATAACAACATGTTGATCTTACAAAAGTCTCATTATTGATGTCTTTACAAACACACTGATCCAACAGAAGCAGACAGAAATATCCATCGATCACATGAACACAAATATTCAGCAAACAGAGAAAGAAACAGATCATCTGAAGAGCTTTTGGAGCAGACTGGAAAGACTTTAGACGCTTGGATTTGGGACAGGAAATAAGGTTGTCCTTTTTCATCTTTCTTTCCTCATTTTGACGTCACTTTTTTCTAAAGTCTCAGACCTTCAACATCTGCACCAACTGAAGGTGATTTAAACAAAGAATCATCTTGATGTTGTTGATATCAAAATGAGAAAATGAGAAATACAAACAATCAAAGTTCTCCACAATCACTGTCCTTAAAGCTGCGACCAAATCAGCATCTTTAGAAAAGAATCAAAAAGCTGAAATGAAGAACTAAACCCAGAGTTTTTGGTGAGACTGATCCACAAACATTTACAAACCAGAACATTTCAAGAGTTCAAGGATCTCAGTCCATGATTTTGGTCTGATGGACTCAAAATTCTCTTTATTTCAGTTTAATAAACTCAGCAGAGGCTTGATAAGACCAGAATGTGAAATACCAGGGTAACATCAGTCCAGCATGTAGAGGTTCAGTGAATGTGGTCTGGACTCTGTGGAGGAGAGTCATGGTTTCAGAGACGCTGTAGAAGGACAGAATACCTTCTCTGTGATCCAGGTACACTCCTACTGTGGAGGACTGAGGACCTGAGACATGAGTGCTGACTTTGTTGTGTACAAATTGATAACTGTCTTTAGAACAGAATAACCTCCAAGATTTGTCATTGTCTCCAAATGAACATTCCTCTGAGTACCGTGCTCTCCTGATGGTCTTGTGTGTGACTGCTACACCAACCCCTTTTCCTCCCCAGTCCACCTCCCAGTAACAACGTCCAGTCAGACTCTCTCTACTCAGGACCTGAAGATAATCAGTGAAAAAGCTTGGCCTATCACTAATAGAATTTGGTTGGTATATATATGTTGCTTTTCTGTTTCCATCAGATAATAATAGATGTCTGTGTGCTGTGTTTGGATCCAGTGTGATTCTTCGTGAATATCTTAAGAAATCAGCTCTGGTCTTGGGTTCTGGTTCTGGTTCTGAAAGTAAAGCATCCACTTTAGTCACTGCCTGTGAGACGTTTGTCCACGTCTTTGTCAGAAGATCCTGGAGTTTCTCTCTGACCTTTGACACAGTTGCTGTCACCTCCTCAAAGTATCTCAGAGGACGGATGTTGATCCTGGGTGAGTCTGCAGGTTGACCCCGTTCTGACAGTGAGGGGTAGCTGTGCAGAAACTGGTTGTGGTCCTCTGTGAGTGAGAGCTTCTGCAGATCAGCATCTTTCCTCTTCAGCTCAGTGATCTCCTGCTCCAGTTTCTCCTGAAGGTCTTTGACTCGACTCACTTCACGTTCCTGCTGGGATCTGACCTGCTGCTCCACCTCAGAGCGGCGTTTCTCCATCAGACGGATCAGCTGGCTGAAGATCTCCTGGCTGTGCTCCACAGCTTTATCAGCAGAGCTGTTGATAGCCTCCACCTCCTGTTGGAGCAGCTTCACATCTTCTTCTCTGTCCTGGATTCTCTGCTGGATGTTTTCTCGACTCTTCTTCAGATCTTTCTGCCTCTCAGTCCTTTCTGCCGCAGCTGAGACTGTGTTGTGACCTTTGTGTTGGTCCAAACAGCAGAGATGACAGATAGACTTCTTATCAGTGCGGCAGAAGATCTTCATCACCTCATCATGACGAGAGCAGATGTTCTCCTGGAGCTTCTTGGAGGGCTCCACCAGCTTGTGTTTCTTATATGAAGGTGATTCAAAATGAGGCTGGAGGTGAATCTGACAGTAAGAAACCAGACATTGAAGACAGGACTTGACAGCCTTCAGTTTTCTCCCACTGCAGGAATCACAGGCCACATCTTCAGGTCCAGCAACAGAAGGATCATCAGGAACAGCTTGAAGTCCGCTCTTCTTCACTTCCTCCACTAAACCTGCTAACATGGTGTTTTTCTTCAGGACAGGCCTCCGTCTGAAGGTCTCTCTGCACTGAGGACAGCTGTAGTTCCTACTCCTATCCTCAGTATCCCAGTAGGATTGAATACAGCTCATGCAGAAGCTGTGTCCACAGGAAACAGTCACCGGATCCTTCAGAAGATCCAAACAGAGGAAACAAGAGAGAGACTCACGGTCCAGATGAACTCCTTTCTGCGCCATTTCAACACTCGCTGTCGACGACGACTGACTGAGTTTTATTTCCTGGTCTGAGCTCTTATCTCAGGTCAGCTCATTATATGACTGTAGATCTGATCAGATCTGGGAGGGGTAATCCAGTTTTTCTACAATCCAGAAAGAGGAGCGGCGATGTGAACTTAAGACTCTCAAACTCCAACAAGCAGAGGTTATTAAAGCTGCAGCCGTCCTGAAGATCAACTGAACCAACATTTATTCACCTCATATAAACCTCATGGATCACAGAAACACTTCCACTGTTTTATCCTGATATCCACACATATTTAAATTTACAACACATATAAACACTCTCTCTCTCTCTCTCTCTCTCTCTCTCTCTCTCTCTCTCTCTCTCTCTCTCTCTCTCTCTCTCTCTCTCTCTCTCTCTCTCACTGCTTCTCCAGCATCACTGTTTGTTTCTGAAACTGGTTCATGTTGACGGCTAACATTAGCTAGCCCATAACCATCTCTATACTTACAGCCTCAAGTAGCCTGGTTAGCAGCTAGCTACGCTAAAGACTTCAGGTTAGCATACAAATATCAGAAGCAGCTGTCTGGACACCTGACCAAGCAGACTCAGTTCGATTGGGGAGCTGAAAGTCGCAAAACTGTTGCATTTATCACTTGTTTCGGTTCGGCTTTAACACTGTGATTTCCAAAGCATACCGAATCAGGGGAGGGAGTCTATGTTGCGGATGTGTGATGGTAAAGAGTTCCAGAGTCGGGGGCAGAGCGACTGAAAGCTCTGCCCCCCATAGTGCTGAGGTGAACAGGGGACACAGTGAGATGGAGAGAGGAAGAGGACCAGAGGTGGCGTGTTGGAGTGGCGATGTGGAGGAGGTCATACAGGTAAGGAGGGGCGAGGTTGTGGATGGCTTTAAAGGTATACAGGAGGATTTTGAACTGGATTCGTAGTGGGACCGGGAGCCAGTGGAGTTGCTGTAGGATGGGGGTAATGTGGTGGGACAAAGGGGTTTTGGTGATCATCCGGGCAGCGGAGTTGTGGACCAGTTGAAGTTTATGGAGAGACGTGTGAGGGAGACCGAAGAGGAGGGAGTTACAGTAGTCCAGACGGGAGGAGACTGCGGACGAGGATGGAAGTGGTGTTGGGGGAGAGGGAGGGGCGGAGCCGATTGATGTGGCGGAGATGGAAGTAGGCAGTCCGAGTGGTAAGGCTGATGTGGGATTTAAAAGAAAGAGTACTGTCAAGGACAACACCCAGACTCTTGACCTGAGGTGAGGGGGAAACTGAGGAACTGTCGATGGGAAGGGAGAGACTGTCAACTTTGGATAGGGTGAATTTGGAACCTACTAGAAGAATTTGTGTTTTCTGACTGTTAAGTTGGAGAAAATTGGCGGTGAACCAGGATTTAATTTCGGATAGGCAGGTGATGAGGGAGGTGGGTGGGAGGGTGGAGTTTGGTGAGCTGGAGAGGTAGAGCTGGGTGTCGTCCGCGTAGCAGTGATATTGAATGCTATCGTAGCTTGTCAGGGATTGATCCTGTTATTTTTCTAACTTTGACGATCTAACATGTGACGACATATGAGCTCAGAGTTTCAGGACTGTGTCTGTTGGTAGTTGTGATTTGATTTTGTTTAAATATGCCAAATTGTGAATTTACGGGTTATTGTTGTTCAGACAATTGAGCTACGCTAGCTAGCAACTGCTAATGTGTGCTTCCTCTACCCAAGATGCACTGCGTATGCACTGCATATAGCGTCATTACGTACATTTGGTCCTGTGTTTGGTCCGGTGAGCTTTCACACTGCATATGAACCGAACCAAGACCTACGTTTGCTCACCTGCCCAAACGAAGCAGACTATCCGAGGAAATGAACTCTGGTCCGTTTAAAGCAGACCAAACAGCGCTGGTGTGAAAGCGACCTAAGTCCAGTTGTCCTTTCAACAAAGAACTGGAAATCATAGATGCTGCATCCTCAGTTTTAAACAATATCTCCAGGTTCAGGAGCAACATCTGCGTCCATCCAGACAGTGACTTTTTCAGGGACGACCTTCATATGATTCCAAACCACATTCTGACAACAGCATGGCTCTGTAGGAGAAGAGGCCTGGACTGATGCAGACCCCAAACTGTTGAGCGGCTGAAATCCATTATCAGGCAAGAATGGGAACATCATCATTTCACTTTTCAAACTCCAGATGCTGGTCTGCTGGGTTCACTAACGTTTGAGCTGTAGACACTCTACAGTTAAAATGACGTTTTTGATCAAGTGTTGAGAAGATAATAAGTCAGAGATTTTGCCCCTAGAACCTACCTTCAAATTCATGAAATGCATTCAAACTGAAATTCAAACTGAACTCCGTCCAAAGCTTGTCTGGATATTTCAGCTGACAGACAGACTTTCCTGTCGGCTTGCGTGGCTAAAAATGCTAAAACTGCCCCCTGACTGTGATCCCTGCTGTCTCATCCAATGACTCTCTAGGTTTGCCCTAATACCCTCGAACACACACACTCACACAAACACACACATGCAGCTGCCCCTCCCCCAACTGTTAAGTGGGTTAGTATTAATTAATTCTCTGCAGCCTGCAGGTCCTCGTTGTTTCCTGCAGACTCTGTGTTCAGCGTGTGCACAGTGTCTGCATTTGTTATTAAGTTTTTCTCCTTTTACAGATAAATCGATGAGAAAAATCCTCACAAGTAAAATGCAAAAACTCGGCTTATGCTCGTGTTGTTTGGAAGTTACAGTACAGACCCGGTTCTTTTATTTTCCCGGTGCAGAAATAAAGCTGCTTCACTCGATGACTCGGCTCTCAAAGTGCAAATCTCCTCTTCCAAACTGGATCCTGAGCCGACAGTAAACTGCTCCTCTCCTAATGGAGGCTCTGGCCGGATGAATTGGCCTGTCAGGGCTGAACGCCGAAGATTACACCGACTCTGCTTCTGAGTCAGGAAGGAGTAAATAACACTTAGAAAATTAGAGACTTTTAATCCTCCAGACACTGAGGAGCTGTGTAAGTCCTTCAGGGTCGGGCTGGAGTTTTGGTTGAAACATGAAAATCCTCATGAAAAGGTCAGCAAAGATCATCTGTAGGACTTTTTTGCTGACAATTACAATAAAGGGAAAATAAGATAACAATCGAACAGATTTTTAATCAAACCAATGACTTAAAATAGCTTAGATATTTACACGACTTTTTTCTTCCTTTTTAGAGGACACAGATAACTTGTTGTCCACTTCACACAGGGACTTTAAAAATGTCCTGTTGTGGTAATGGACGGCTGAGCCTGTTCGCAGCCTGCAATGGTATTCCCTATTTAAACCACATTGTAAAATGTTCCTTGTTTTACCGATCTAGAGCTCAAACCATGGTAAAATGTTAGAAGTGCTCATCCCACCATGTCAGGCTGTACCCTCTACCTCCCTTTGCTGTCTCAATTCCATGAGAGAGAAAAGAGAAACCACAGAGAGTCTCTAATGAGGTATTAAATAAGGAAAGGCAAGGCAGATCCAGGGGCAGACCCTGTTTGGATCACCATTGACTGTACGCTCTACCTCCCCCTATTGTTTAAGACAAGAGTCAGACAACAGTAAGAGATCTATGAAGAGATATTAGAAAAAGGCAAACAGACAGAGAAAAGTCTGTTTGACCCAAAGCTCACCCTACCAGATTAGGCTGTACGCTCTACCTCCACCAAGTATCTTAATATTTTGAGGAGAGGAGAATAAAGGAGGTCCGTTAAAAAGATGTTTCAAAGAGGATGGAAATGACAGAACCAGGCGGAAACAGGTTTAGGCAGCAACTAATCCGGCTACGAAAAGGACGTATCCGACGATCACAGCTGATCGTGACCATCCATCCATTTTCTACCGCTTATTCCCGTTAGGGATCGCAGGGGGGCTGGAGCCTATCCCAGCATCTTTGGGCGAAGGCAGGAGATGACAGTGCAATGAACTGGTGACAGTCACCAGTTCATTTGCATATAGAGACGAACAACCATCCACGCTCACATTCACGCCTACAGGCAATTTGAAACTGGCCAATTAACCGAACCCCACTTCAGCATATTTTTGGGATGTGGGAGGAAACTGGAGACACAGGGAGAACTCCACACAGAAATACCCTGAGCCGGATTCGAACCCAGGACCTCATTGCTGTGAGACGACAGTGCTAACCACTACACCGCTGTGCCGGTGTAACGTGTCAATTTCCACCGGCTTCTTTTCATTCCTCTGCGGATCGCCGGACTCCTCAGCTGATCACAAGAGTTCTATTTTTTTCTGGACGACAGAGCATAACGGATAAATTCAGCACAGATTAACCCGTGCTGGAAAGGAAGTCGGGCACAGACACAAAATAAAACATCCAGCTTCTTTTCAAAATAAAACACTCCGTGTTTCAGGAGGATCGTATTTCACACCATGCAAACGGGTGGAGACGAACAAGTGAAAGGTTTTTAGACGTCATTTCACCCCGATGACACCATGGATGAGGAGATGCTGATTCTAGAAGTCTAGATGTAGATTTCCTCCTCTGGAAGGACACAATCTACTGCTTATATGTCTATATGTCTGTCTTTATAGAGACAACTCGTTATCATGCAATTGAATCTGCGAGTTCTTGTGAGTTCTTGCGATTACTGCTGTCTGTAATCTGCCACGAAATTCGTCAAGTTAAGCTGTACTCTCTGCCTCCCCTTCAGCCCTAAAAGACACATAACCTGAGATGGGTTTGTAAAGAGATGTTAAAAAGATGGAGAGAGAGGCGGGGCCTGGGGTGCGCTGTCTTGGGGACAGGAAT